AAAAAAAAAAAAAAAAAAAGGTGTTTGCCATCTCAAGCACAGCCTTATTGATTTTTGTAACATTTGCGTTATGATGTTATGATTGCTTCAACATCACTGGGCAACAGGAATTTTTTCATCTCCATTATAAGCTTATGAGACCACCATTGTATATGCAACCCATCATTGATTGAAATGTCATTATATGGCATATGACTGTATCTATATCAAGAGCTTGACTTGTGATAAGTCAGGAACAAAATCAGATTATCTTAAAAGAATGAACCTTGGCAATTTGCCATAATATGATTGCAATAAAAAGCTTATTAGGAAATGATTAGAGGTGTTTTAAGGGCTTAACATCTTCCCAAGCTGAGCTGGAAGGGAGCTTAGTTAGAATGATCTTGTCCAACTCTTATCTCTCACACAGGGGAAACTATTTCAAATTCAGAGAGGTTAAATGACCTGGCTAAGGTCACACAGTACAGCCATAGTTCATTCTTGTACGTCAGTTCTCCTGTGAGGCTGGGCAGATGAGAAATCCTTCATTTTCTCTCCTTGCAGAGATTTTTTTTTTTAGGTTACTTTTCTAGTCCTGACAAACAACCCTGCTACCCATGGCTCTGTGTCTCAAATGATTAAATCCTGTTCCTTAACTTGTTTTGTTTTATCTCCAGGGTACCCCCAGTTTTCCGGTTGGTTAAGAAAACTGTCCCGTCTGGTACCAGCCCAGCCAGCTCCACCCCTCTGGGCGGGCAGATAGCAGCTGACTCCTGCAGTCCCGCTCATGTGACCACCGCAGCTCCCCGTTCTGTTCCCCGTCCCAGGCTCGTGTAGGCACCTTCCGTGAGGGGCAACAGGTAGGCCCCCCAGCACTGCCCGCGCACCGCTGGAACAGTTGGGGGTTACCAGACAGACTTGGCGGGCTCTCCGGGCAGGACGAAGTGTGGCTCACACCATCCCTGCTTGCCCTTCCCCTCTGCTTGCACCTACCTCCAGGAAGGCCACTCTGCCCTTCCTTCCTTTGTTCTTTGGCCTTCCTTTCCCCTCAGCTACAGACCTTTTCCTTTTTTGTCTCTGCTGACTTAGCAGCACCCTGCCAGACGTGCAAAGATTAATCAGTGACAGGAAGCTGCCTCGTTCGGAGCAGTGGCCAGCTGTGGTCAGGACAGCCTCTGCAAGCCCGGGCCTAGGAGTCTGCCCAGCCCTCTGTCTGCTGCTCACCCACCTGCTGCTGCCATGGGCCACCTTGGGGCCCTCCTCTTCCTGCTGGGGGCCCTGGGGGCTCTCGCTGACATCTGCAGTAAGTATCTGGACCTACCCTGGACCTCTTTCCTCCTGGGTCCTTAGGAGGAAGGACCGTCTTGTCCAAGTCCTGCATTATATAGCTGGGGAAACCAAGGTGCCGATGTGGGAGGCAGGTACGACCTATCTGCCTGCCTCTTTGGGCTCCCGTAGCAGTTTGGGCTCAGCATTTAGCACGTTGTATTGAGATTAATTACATGTCTGACTCCCCGACAGACGTGATCGCCTCCATTAATTCAGTCATTTGTTCATTTATCCATTCAGTGCACATTGAGTGAGCCTTCTCTGTGACAGGTGTGGTGTTAGGGTTTGGGGAAAGAACACAGAGCAAGACAGTCCCTGTCCTCCTAAAGCTTCCATTCTAGTGAAAGGATAAAGTCAAGAGGCAAATCACTGCTGTGTTTGGGGGCTGAGGTGAGTGCCAAAGGAAAGCACGAAGGCCACCTATTCAAGGAGAGAAGTTGGGGAGGGATTTCCAAGGAGCTAGGGGCAACATGGGAACTGAAACACAATAGAAGAAAAGAAACTGTCAAGGAAAGGAGTGGCAGACAGGCCTCCCAGGCAGAGGGAAGTGAGTATGGAGACACAGGTGGGGAGACGAGTCCCAGACAGGCAGGGAGCTGCCAGGCTGAGACGTTTGCATTATATTACTTGTGTGCCAGGCTGGGCCCCCACAGGCTTCTCAGGACCTGTCTATGAGTCTGAGTGCACAGACTTGGGGCTACCTGGGCACTGGAGCCAGGCAGGAAGCAGAAGCCAGGAAGGGGAGCCTCTGAACTCTGGGGCCACCCACCTCTCCTCTTCCCTCTTGCGTTCTGCCCATAGCATTATGCTCTTCAATGCACTTGCACCACCGGGGGCTCTTGTGATCCTTGGAGAAACAGAGAGGCAGGTTCAGTCAAGTCCAGGTGATAGGCAAAGCATTCAAGGTTGGAGGGGCCAGTTGACCTGCCCAAGGTGCTCCAGCTTCCCAGGAGACTGGCTATGCCAGACTTAGTTCCCAGAACTCCAGAACAAGGTCTTGGGCACCAGGAACCTCCAGCCTGTGTTCCGCAAATGCAACCAGACCCCTTAGCCTTGGCCCTTGGGTTTCTGTCTAGACAGTCCCCAGGGGAGAACTGGGACCTGGTCTTCAACCTCACTGATCGTGACCAGTTTAGAAGTCTCCTTCGCATGGAAGCTGGGGAGCCCTGGGCTGGGTCTCAGCTTGCTGCTGCTGAGTCACTTAGTCACTCCCAACCTTATTCCCTCACCTGCAAAATGGGCTAAGAAGGCTCCCCAGCCTTCCTCCTGTTTGTGCCAGGATCCCACACACCTGCTTTACTGGCTTAAAGCTCTGTGAAATTAAAAGGGATGCTTGTGTGAGGTGGGCTCGTGTGCTTCAGAGTGCCAGTGCCAGTCAGGCCTCAGCTGGCAGAGCTGGGCGGCCCTGCGAGCAGAAGACTCCAGGGGGAAGGGTGCTCTCCCAGGGCCACTTTTATTACCCTCAGTGAATCTGCCTGGCTCTTTCCTTCTACGGAGGCTGTTTATAACTCCAGCTTCTCTTCTTATCACTTCTAACTCCAGGGCTGACTCACCTGCCGGAGGGCAGAGCCCAGGGTGGGGGCAGGAATTCCTTCACTATTTTGAAGAAAAGGGACAGGGAAAGAGAAATGTGGAGGGGACAGATGACCAGAGAGCCAGTCAG